TTTTCTGCTGTACTGCACTAACGTTGGATAGCGTTCATTGTATGTAGTGTACATAACAGTGTTTTAAGGCAATATGTCCAAGTGACACCACCACCATTCCGTCACTAACATTGCCCACGTATTCAGTAAAGCAGTCGCCACATGAGAGTCGAATGCTCGTCATGAACGATGTGGCCTAACTGAAGGGCCCCTCCTGGAAATTACCTTGAGGAACTGAGGAAAACCATTAAAATATCATTCAGGGTAATTGGTATCCGTGCCGAGTTTCTAAACTATGATACGAAGTAGGAATGCCAACCATTCGGAAAATCGCATACTTCAGCCAACAGATCAGGCCAAATACAGTGCATTTCAATGTAAGAGTCGCAAACGTTTTGTTCTATGAAGCTGATATTGCCTGCGCAGATATGGACCTTCACACCACGTCTTGTAGCTAAGGATGTCAGTGCCGGCAGGAATTTTGATTTTTTCTCTTTAACACCATGTCCACAGAAGATGTAGATTCATAACTTTCGATAATTCTCAAAATAAAAAGTCATTATTTCCTCACAACAAACTTAACACGGTGGTCTTTATAATGGAGGCACGATTATTTCCCTTGCTGTACGGACTTAATTTTAAAAGCCGAGATTCGGCTTCAAATGGTTAAAGTGAGCTGTGTCTTGAAGTGCTGTGAAGTCATGAAACCTACTAAGATAAAGCAGCTACTAAACATAAATTTCTAACAAGAGTAAACAGAGATTACTTTCATACAAGACGTTAAGTACATCATCGTTCCAGAAAATCCGTGTCACTATTGAATTCACACTATTTTTATCTTATACCAATTCCAGCCCCAGCGAGGAAAACAAATGTGAAATGCCCTAAAATGAAGCACTAAGAAGAGTCACTAAAATCTAACACTAGAGGAAACTCAACAGGACCCTGCTGACGTTCACTGGACACGCATTCCTGTGCGGAAAATTTAATCACGTGCAATACGACGGACTGGGTGTGTAGCTTCAAAGAAACACGTTTTGTTGCAGAATGGATAACACGAAGAGGTAAAACGAGGCAGCGACCAAAGATACACGGCGACGTGTCATGATAAAGAGTGTTACTTGAAATGTGAACCATAATTTTATTTTATTTATTAATTTTTTGCGTCCTGAAATGTTGTAATACGTAATAACGAAAACACAATTGAAAATCCGATTATTTATTTATCAGTTGTTATTTAAATTAATTTAGAGGTTATTTCAGCACGTGTTGACAGTAAGATATTATATACTTTTACCTAAATCGAGAATGTAAATTTATTCCTTTTGGTTTATGTAAACTTTGTGTACTGTTTCATCAAACCTGTTCAAGAATGGTCTAAATAACAAAGTATTTATATGCATTACAAATCTAAAGTGGTATGAGTCTTGGAATTGATTTGTTAATAATAAGACACAACTGCAATGCGTGCAAGCCTCTGAATGTTGTTAAATTTTTAAATATATGTATAATGGCACATTCAGCGTGGTCAAACTGGCCACATCCGGTCCGAAACCACTTAGAACCAGGCCGACGTAATCATCAGACATGTTAATTTTGTTCACATACTCAAACCCTAATGCTTTAAGATTCTTTTAAATATTAATACGGTACCTTGAAACAGACCACTTCTCTCATCTGAATATCAACACTATCATATTCCTCATAAGAAACACCAAATTTCACCACGTGTACAGAACACCGTTAAATAACAAACGCAGAACTTAAAGCCAATGTTGTCTAGTACTTAATTAAGCACCACAATATGAAGTGGTGTGTGGGGTGGAGATGTAGTCCCACGAATTATTAACTTTGTTACGGTACTAGGCGGCCAGCTTTATGCTCCTGCCTTTAAAATTCTAGACTGTACATGAAAGTTGCCAATTTTAAAGGGTACTTTTTTTTCCTTTCAAGGCAGGAAGAAGCCTTTGAGTTATACTTTGTTTGCCTATCCGTTTCTTTTATCTGTTTGTATAGCCAGCGGAGAGAGAGCTTTATAAATATGTACAGTCTCAAATGTCTGTTCTTAATCTTGTTTAAGTCATCCTGAGGAATAATTTTAGAATAAAGGAAGCATTCATAATTCCAACGTAATTATTGTGCACTCGCAATGGCTTCTGTGTCCTTGTACTCCTCTCCTTTATTTTTTCCGCCGTCTTGGAATGTCTCTCTCTTCCCTTTCACACTTACAAACTTGAGAGGTTCTTGCAAACTCATTTCATATTTCTGAAAGAACATATTTAATCCTGAATTTCATAGACACAAACCATCTCAGAACATTTAATACGAACAACGCCGGATTATCCGGTGTTATATGGTAAGTTATTTAACGATGTTGTATCGACTAGAGTAAAAAAATACCAAATGTAATGTAAGAATAATCATAAAATGTGAGTTTCAATGACTGTAGTTGTGCTAACAAAAATTAAATATTTTCTCATCTCTGTCACATCGAAGGCCTCGTTCATGTAACTTCGTATGTAAATATAAGCAATTCGCAAGAACATCATCAACTGACCGCAGTAGCAAAGAATTATAACACTTGCCACTACAGTAAAATACTGGCTTAGTGGGTTCGAATCCCTTACTGAACATCCACGTACGTCAGCCATTTTTTCTTCTACCCTACATAGGTACAGATCTTAAGACAGGCCGAATACCTAATCAAGCTTTCTAACCGAATTATACGAAGTGGACTAAACTAAACTAGAGTCTACTCGACGTAACTAAGTATTTAGAAAACTATAGACTAAGAAGGGGAAGAAATATCTGCTTCGTCTTTATGAGATTAAGAACTGATCTGAGAACATGCTTGTCTTCATTAAGACTTCTCTCAATGTCCTTATAGAATATCTTACAGAAAATGATAAAATAAAAGTTTTTCATGGAACAATCAGTAACTGAGAAATACAATTTTGGTTTCATCAGTTAAATAAAAGAGCATTGAAGGTGGTTATCTTCTGGGTCGAAGCTATGTAGACTGGTAGAAGGTTACTGACATTCTATAGATACTTCTGAAACGCCAGTAAAAGTCTACCAGTCTACACGGCGCTACAACCCAGAAGACAGCCATCTTCGGGCTCACCGACGTGAAAACCTCAAATCCTACTGGATTGTTTTCCTGTAATAGCACACCAAATTGTCCTTATATCAATTAAATACCGTCAATTTAATCGGAGTATCAACGTTTGCAACGGAGATGCAAGCCTAGTGTGTTAGAGTTAAACAGGAAAATTCTTTAAAAACAAAGTTCAGATACGTACAAACATTTTCTCAAACTTTTAATAAATCATTATTAATATTAAATGACTTCTCAGAGATTCAATGCTAATATATTATATTATGCTGCCGCACATACGAAGGCAGTACTACAGTACCAAAACTTACTCCCAAAGGCCTTAAACTTAAAAACAATATCTAAAAACTATGAGCAGCATTTCCCTCTTGCGTTTAACCCCATTAAATTATCAATGCTATTGATAAATATTACGGGATGAACTAAGCAATTACGTCGCGTACTCCCATGAAATAAACATATGCATAATGCAAACCGAAGGATACGGGACAACGGAGACTGTCTATTCTCGGGTCACCCTGGAGAAACTCGACTTTCTCCATTATGCATAGTATTGTTCTTCTCATAATTCACAAAATGTAAAGACCAGACCACAAGGTTCTGATTACGTCTTTAGTCGATGTTTCTGGAACGTGTTATTACATAGAACTGATCCGCTGGAAGCCTCAGTACACATTTTGGGAATATGCAGAGTGTCATCGTCTGTTTGCAGCAGCTTGGTATTTAAAATGAATCGATCAACAAGAGGTGTGGAACGTTCATTTTTAAAACTATCAATATGCCAATATAATCGCTTTGCGCGATATAAAATGGATTATATGAGGGATGTATTTGCAAAAAAGAAAAAAAATCCAGAATTAAATAGCCATTTGTACGCAGGGCGTGGTTTGAAATGATTTGAAGGTTAGCAGTCATAAAACATAAATGTCAAAATCTACAGGGTTTGTAAACAACTGTGATCACACATACAAAATTATTTTGCAGTCAATTTCGTTGTTCATTACAAGAGTCATATAGCTGTTGTAGAGCGGGTTAATGTTGCAGCGTTCAGGAAAAAGGGAACTATGTCTTACATGGTAAATTTATGTACAGTTTTAATTTATGAACAGAACTGCGATTAACAAACGCTGAGCTTATACAGTCTATCTAATTAAATCTCTTACATTCTTCCACATAAATCCTGTATTTAAAGAAACGTCAATTTTGTCATATTTAATTAGACTGCGCATTTATCGAAAGACAAAAATGGCGTCCTTTACAAATCAAGACTGCGTCCTTTGTCGTCTAGTTACTACTGCAGAAGATGTAGACCGCTCTTTTTTGTGTGACCTAAAATGGTCTTTAATCCATCCTGCTCACTAAAAGACGAGAGCGGAAGGGCAAATATTCAGACACCAAGAGACGTCATCACGCTCTCTCTAAAAGCGCAGTTTTTCTCACTTGGTTGTCATATTCAGTTGCGTTTAAAACGCAGTTGGCCCTCAAGTTTCAGAGACTCAACTTGAATTGCAAAATTTCTGCCGCTAGAATAACTATGTCATAAACCAGGAAATAATCGGCGTTGGATGCTTGCGTATCACTTTCTGTATCAAAAACCATCCTGCCACTGAGCTTAGCTGGAAGAGGTTTCGTGCCGGATTTGAGTAACACTTCAGAACCCGAAGTGCTCCAAGCAAAGATCAGTAATGTTCTCCGAAAGGTCTGTTCTTTCACACCACAAAAGGAAACGAGAGTAGACAACAAGACAGCATATTTCCAGCAAAAAATCTAAAACTCTACTTCTGTATATTCTTTAATTATCTATTACCATACATAACTTCGGTTCCCTGTAGTTATTCAAATCAAGCGACGCGGGCTTAATCAACAGCAGAGATATCACAAAACATAGTACGAAACTGCGACGTACCTACTACGGTGAGATACACGGGGTGTCCAACCGGAGGTGTGGTGCTGATTTGGCACTCATAGATTCCCGAATCCTTTCGTTGTGGATATCTTATCCTCAGAGTCCAGTCTTCCGTGTGGGGTGAATGGATGGCTTCGAACCTTTGATCGCTTGTATATGTGTATCGTCCTACTGTCAACAGATGGATATCTCGATGTCGAACCCAGGACACCTAAAACACAAAAGTTTCACCGCCATGAGAGTGATGCAGATGTGGCACTTGTTGCACTCTGTGATGTCAGCAATTACAGTGTCTCCCGTGAAAACTCTTGCAGGTTAGGTTAGGTTTATAGTTAGTATTACCAATGTAAACTGAGATGCACATTTAAAATCAATTTTGTTTTCATTTCACCCTGGGATCCACATAAATGTAACGTTGTAAGTGACACGTCAAAACATAAATTATATAATAGGATTTGAAGTTTTTATGACAGCGATTTTAAAAATGGCTGTCTTGTGGGTTCTGGCGCCATGTAGAAGGCAAGAATTTAAGCGACTTTTAAGAGGTGTTTGCTTCTTTGCTGAAAGGCCGGTAAACTGTTATCTGACAATACGGCGCAACAACCCACAAGACAGACCTCTTATTGAAGTATATATTGAAGATGCAGACTGATTAAACAATCATGCTTCGTATACGGGAGATTTCGATCCGGAGAACGCATATTCTTTCATTTCTTCCTCAGTCCCTCCAGATAAATTGAACGTTTGTAGGTAATATGGTTTAAGGTTTTGTTTGTGGGACGTGGGAATGTCATTAAATTTAACTGGGATATAAGGAAGCGTATGAAGTAAATCATGTAAGGGAGAACGTGGAACAATGGTGAATTCACTCACAACAGAGGGTATGATATAAGGAAGCGTATGAAGTAAATCACGTAAGGGAGAACGTGGAACAAAGGTGAATTCACTCACAACAGAGGGTACATAGTGTCGAAACAGAGATGAAATGGTGGATAGTGAACTGAGAAAATCTGGGGACGCATTAGTAGTCAACTATTTACAGGTACTATGCAGTAATATCACTAGAATAACAGACGATTCACAGACAACCCGCCTTATAACCGTTGTACCTGAAATTCGAAATGAGTACTTTCCCAATACACGCAGGATACATTTACCTTCTATTCGACAACAAGAGGGACCACCACAAACAAACCAAGTTATCGTCAGTTCTATTAAGATACAGGGCAATTAATACGTTTTTATTTAATTAATAGTCTCTTCAGGGAATACCTGTTTTGTCTGCACCACGTAAACAATTTAATAGTTCCACGTCAACAATTAGCACCATATGCATGAGTACTTTATTCAGAAAATCACTGCAAAACATCTGCAGAAATATTTCCCCTTCAAGTGTTAACTTTTCTCTACGTTTTGATCTATCCTCTCTAATTGCTATCAAAGTGAAGTAGCGTAGCTGACGAGTAGTTTCTCTTCCCAGTACAGTATATATCGTTGTCACATAGAAAATTACTGCTGTCAACGTTTCTTGCTTGTACGTCTTGAAGACCTGCCACTAAATGCTGAAACTCTAATTTATCACAAAAGGAGGTGGAGGTAATACAGACATGAAAAGCAATTTCTCGGAACAAAAGAGTGACAGTAATAGCAAAACGCACTAACATCACCCGTGTCTATTGGTATCCATAATGCGCTCACATAAACACATTAGAGGAACGCTAAAATATCTACAGTGAACACCACACGCACAAGAATATCATTATTTAATTGCTGGTTTAATCGACCAGCAAAACATTACACATCGTATTTATGCTGGTATGTGCCTGGAATAGTTTAATTCAATTACAGCTTTTCGTCCAATTTTCATCCCTGAAAATACGGGCGTAATTTTTAAATTTAAAATAGTATAAAAGGTAAATTAAATTACATTAAATAATCGTTCTCTACGTCTACAACTGTAATATCACTAAAGCATTTAAAGCTAAACACCTCGACTTATCTGCAGAAATAGCGTCTACAGAGAACACTGCTAAAGTGAGAAATGGAAGGTAAATATTACACTACACACAAATGAGCACAGGTACATTATTAACGAATATTTCATACATCGCATTTGAAATGTGAGCTGTGTTATTAAGATATGAGATATATGTACGAAACAGAGAGAATATTTGTTCACATAATTATTGTTGTAATTTAGGTCATAGAAATTTCAGACGTGTTGTTTCAATCTCTGACTCCTAAACTTATTACACAAAATTATACAGTAAACAAAATAATAAATTCCACACTAATTCTTTCCCAGTATTTATATTCTAGCTTTTCTCGTTTAATTTAATGAAGCAGAGATCTCTACTCATTCTGTTAATTATGGGACGAGCGATCATTCTATCGGAAAGGGTCTAAATGCAGAAACAAATTGCGGACAAATATATACACCGTGAGAAGAATTAGAACCAAATAGTTACCTAAGCTTCTAAGTTCCTTAAAGCAAATGACCACTCTGATTGGCTAATTTAATGTAAAATGGAGAGATGTTTTCAATCTTTTCCGATCTCAAATGTCTAAATTATTGAAAATGTTCAGTTATAATTTTTATGCACCAGTATATATAGCCTGTTCGACATTTTATAATTTTAATTTTTCCCAAAAACCTATTCCGTATATATTCCTGTAACTAGAAAATATTTGACAGTTCAAAACAAACACGTGAAATGGACCGAAGTCCAGTTTACTGGAAACCAGTTATAATAGCTTACTTTCCATAAGCGTCCATCATCAAATTAAACGGAACCGAATCTCGAATGCTAGCCTGGTGTTTTCATTCACAGATTCAATTTGATTACAACCCACTCTCCAAATCATGCGCAAGACCGTTAAATTATTTTAACAAGTAATTGGGTCATACGTTTCCGTTTTGTAACGATTTTAGCGTTAACATTTCGCTGTTACTTTAAGTGTATACACTTAATTTACATGTGTATGGCTGTCTTCTGGGTTGTGGCGCAGTATAGTCTGCTGGAAGTTTACCAATATCTCAGAGGTCCAAGCTGCGTCCATCATCAGGACGATGAGTTGGTGAACTGCTACCAGACTACACAACGCTACAACCCATGAATCAGTCATCTTTGTTCTCACCCCTGTTAAAACTTAAAATTCTACTTAATTTAAATGTGCAAATATTCTCCCTTAAAGGCAAACTCTGCTACATTTGTATATGTAAGCAAAAAAAAAATGCAGTATGGACACACAGTCATCGGTTCCTACACGGAGCCACATGAACTCAATTCACACCCGATTGCCGTGAAAATTAATTTTTTTAGGTCCTTCAGAACGGTCTGTTTCCTTCAGCCTTTCCAGACTCCATTAAAGGGGTTACGTACTTAAAACACCAGCCAAATGTTACAAAAAGTATGTAAGTCGGACACAGGGAAACTTAACGTATGTACATTGCCAGAAATAGTGGCATTAAATTCTCAACAGTAAAAACATTCTTCACAACATAGTTGTGTTTTTACATACAACATCTTAATGCATTCTCATTGACATATGGATAAGTTTGCGGTTCCCACTCCAAGAAAAGCTGGTTTTAAATATTTTTATGGCCAAATATCTTCAGGAAAAGAAATTTTGAATTCCAGACAAAGTTGTGATCGGCTGCTCAACTAAAATTATATTTTAAAATTTTCGTGAATGCAAATGCGTGTGTCCTCATCAGGGCAATGACTTATCGCCCTGATTATGAAGGCACCAAGGACCTCTGAAACGTCGGTAAACTTGTCAGACTACACTGCGCAACAACCCAGAAGACAGCCATCTTCAGACTCACCGCAGTGTAAACCTCAAACCCTACATAGAAGTTTAGTTCCAAGAAATAAATGCTGATCTAAACTAAACTGAGTGAGAAAAGAAGGATTTAGGCCCACCTTATCTACCTCTGTCGTCACTTAATCACTTGCTCAAAACAGTCTTGTACAGAACATGTGAGGGACATACGTATGCCCCATTGGATTGTAATCTGCGTCAGTCTAATTTAATTCACTTCTTCACAAGTAAACATCTTAGTATTAATCTCCAATCTCAAAATAGAATATATATATAAACGCGTATGTATTATTTACAAAAGGACCTTTTTACACTGTCAACCTCAATTGCTTGAAGCTAATGATATATTAACAAAAAGTAAAACTATGAATATTTTCAATATGTAATTTTCTCAGAATCCATTATAAATATTCTTCCAAAAGCACTGCTTTATACAGCGAAAATTTAATAACTCTTTTCGTGTTGAAGTATAACATATTCGTCATACAGATCTAAAACAACCTCTAATGGGGAACTCTGCTTTCAAGTATCTTCATTCCCTGTCCTTTGTTCAGACTGAGAGACCAAATAGGCTGGCATATTAAGCAGTGAGAACAATTAAATTTGCATGTATTAAAATCTGTCATTTTTTATAGATGTTGCAATTAATAAATGTGAAATTTGTGATGATGTGTTCAATTGAATTCTGTATTATTGTGTATTTTATAGTTCGCAAGTAGGCCTACATTATTTCACCACATCTGTTGTATGTCTAATGTGATTCTGATTAGGATGTGATTAGGATATAAGATATGAACTTATACTTCATGCGTAGACACTGTAGTTTAAGACAATTTCCTTGCAAATTTAAAATATTTCCATTTTTCGTCGAAATAATCTCAGCCAGAACAAAAGGGCAGATAATTGGTTCATTCAGATGCATCTCTTCAGAACCTCTAGGGAATTTCTAAAGCATCTGTAAAAATAGGGAGTCTAGAAACTTGTGAGTGGTTTGGCATTAATGTTTCCCATTGTTTGTAAGTGCGTATATTCTGTAGGTTGATGAGTTCTCGCCCAGGCATGTAGTTATCAACATCCTACATCACAGGATACGTCATCGGTTTCCCATAGAAATCTGCAGGACTAGTGTAAAGGAAAAGCTTGAGACACCTCTACAACCACAATGGGAAAAGAGCAGTTCTTTGCAATGTTCAGGATTATTGTTAGGTGTCGTATATTGAGGGGAGGGTGAGACGTGTCTTTAGACTATTCAACAATTTTGTACGAACTGCACTATTCCAGCGTTAATCTGTTACGACTCTTGAAAATTAGTCTACAGAAATCATTTAAGATAGTTAACACCTATGCGTGGACCGACTAAAAGTAATTAACTGCTTTGATTGTATA